CTATACAAAATGTCTTAGAATCATAAGAGAGTAAAGAGTTAACCAATAAAACTTATAAAAAAATAAAGAAAAGATCTCGATATGCATGGATCCAACTAACTAATCATCTTGGAGTTTATTTTTTTTTATAAATGTTTAACTTGCGCACCTGTGTGCTTAGTGGGATTCGTTCTTTTTTTGCTTCTATGAGTTGTATTAGCGATTTAAATTTTTTTTACTTATGATTCTCTGACACTCTGCATACAATCTACTCTATGATATAATCTAATAAAAATTGATATCACTATTCGTAGAATATTTATTACAAGCATACTAATAATTGTCAAACAATAAGAGAAAGCATGTGTTTATAGACTTTTAATCTTTATCATATTTATAAATGTTATACACGCGCCAGTACCAGGACAAATGTCATTGCGAAAAAGAGTATAATATGACTCGAGTCTCTTTTTTTTAAATTATTAAATTTATTAACATTAGTATATATGTGTTTTGTGCGTGCGTGCGTGCGTGTATGTGTGCGTGCGTGCGTGCGTGCGTGCGTATAGATATTAATCCATTTAATAATTTTAAAGAAAGAGAGATATATACTTATATATGATAAAGATTAAATCAAATATGTGGAATGTTCGAAAAGTTTCGGATATAAACTTTACATTTATATAAATTCGAGTTTTCTTATTTTTTTTTTTAAGATTTTTATTTCTACTAAAAATGATATAACTTCAAGTTTCCAAAGAATATCATGCTGCTATACTTGTAGATGTATCTTTTTTTTTTAGAACATTCTATATAATTAAGACTATTATTGATAATTTTCGTTGTAACGCAAATTGAATTGTTTATACTGGTTAAAGGGTATTAAATCGGTAGTACAGTAGATACTCGATAATTTGATACACTTTTCGAAATTTACGCCTTACACGATGTCTGTAACGTCAGAAAGTGACGGTCAGAAGGTGTCTTATTGTTTTCCCCGCTTGAATTAATTCGTTGTCCTATAAAAACAGCGAATAAATTACAAGATTAAAGAAATTAATAGTACGAAACTTTTTCGTTTGGTGTTTCGATTTCTACAACTTTTATTCACTTACATCAAGCGAGTGTCGCGATTATCGAATGTCTACTCTATAGGATTATAACGAAGAAATAGATATTGAGTAAAGGGCCTGATAAAGTTGAATGAAGAAATTGATTTTGGAATGAGAGACACAGAGAAATATTTTTGTCAATATTAGGAAAGAAATAGTATACACGGATACATTTCTCGAAACTGCGAACGAATATATATGTCCAACGATTTATCTGTTTCTTCTTCTGATACCGATATACAATATGATCGCCCAAAATCACTTTCAGCACTAATCTCTGAAACCTTATTCGAACAGGTGTCGACTGGAAATCGCTAACAATTCCCGCGTGCTTACCAATCACTACAGATTACTTCCCGGATAAAAGAAGTTTGCAAAATGACTACGTCGTGTCGGACTATAATCTTCTGCCGGACGACGTTAACGCCGATTTTGCCCAGCAGCGAGCGATATATAAAAAACCACTCACGACCACGGAGGTATTCAAGGAACTGGTCTCACAACGCTTGGCTCAAGTAAAGATAAGACACCATTTTTATTCATATTTTTATATAATTATATCCTCAGGGAGAGTGACGAATCTTGTGTGTCGTTAAGGGTTTTCAGCTGATCATTTTACCGCCAGTTAACAAAAATCAAAGTAACGGATCTGGCAATAATGCCGCCCCCGCTATTAGCACAATAATGCGCGGTAGACAAAATGAGTCCGAACCTAAAGAAGAATATTTACTTAGCATTGGAAGAATCTTTCACAAGATATCTCTGTTTGATAATTCTATCACAGTCACGAGGTACCGGCCACGGTAAATAGTTTTATCAATAATGCACTAATTTGCTGCGTTGGAATATGATGATAAGACATATTTCAAAGTAAATTTTATTATACTGTAATTGTGTTGTTCCAATTAAACGGATTAAACGGACAAACTTGAGCAAAAGAAATATTTAGTCACGTTTACAGGCACCCTTATCCACCCTTCAATATACACTATCGGTATCGATTTTACGCTCCGCACCACGATACATACGAAGTATCGTGGGTGTCCTTCACAACAGAAAAACTCGAGAATTATAACTGGAACTATCTGGACCACTATATATGCACACGAGGCCATACCGATTTCGCTTTAGTGGAGGTGAGAGTGAAATGAAGAAATTTACTATTGATCTAGTTTTACGTACTTCCTATAAAAGAAAATCCTACAGTTTTCGTAATTTTTTTCAAGGCTCTCAAATATTGGCGGTTTCGAGTATTTCTATTGCCACTACATAATTCCGCGACTCGCAAAATCTTGGAAGGCTCTCCAAGATGCGACATATACACTCCACTTAATAATTCTGAACAAGCGTCACTAATGGATGGTTTTCTGCGTTTTATCGAAGGATGGTTGAACAAAATACGACGGCCAAATCCCAATAAAAACTGGGTAATTTCCTCACTATTCTAACTTGTACAGTACATGTTTATAGAGATGATAATTGATAGATATCAGATTACTCTAATTATTCCAACAAGGATTTCAATTGGAACTGTGTAGCAATTTTATTTAACATTATAAAGGATGTTCCAAAGAGCAGTTGTGTGACAGTAATAAACAATATCGTTGTCATCTTTTCGTAAAAGATATGCTCAAGCTTGATCCGTTCGTCTCGTATCAAATTAAATTCTCATTAAAGACTATATACACGCACGCGACGTGAAGAAATGCTATTGACATAAATCTCTTTTTGAAGCATTCCATTATAATTATAGTTATCTTAATTGCAGTTATTTTACTTCTGCAATGCGTGACACTTGAAATTGCTTGATAGTTTCCGTTGTAATTACGTAGGCGTCCGAGGAGTTACTCTATATTTTCTAATGTGGTATATTAAACAGACGAGATAGTTGGTTTTATACGACACACACACACACACACACCCACACACACCCACACACACACACACACACACACACAC